TAAGTATTATTGTATATATAAAATCTATTATTGTTATTTTGTGTGATATTAAATTATAAAGATATTAACAGCATAGAAATATATATGTATGTTAATATTGAAAAGCATATTATCTGTATGCTGTTCAGTTTATGTTTGTTGTATATTTAATTGTATGTATGAAACTGTAACATAAATAAATAGAGACAACTTTAAGTACAGTTTTATTCTCAATACTTGAATTATAAGAGTAAAGAAATTTTAAGTTATATAATTGGATATTTTTTAATGTTATGATTTTATATTAAATTATTTGAAATGTATTGAATTTCTTAAAATTTTTTACTTTTAATTTATGAAAGTAATTAAAATGTACTATATTTTTATGTATGCATAATAAATTCCTATATAATATTATATTTCATATATTTTTTCTATTAAGCTTTTAAATGACCATTAATTATGTGTATGTGTTACATTTTTCTGTAACATATTCATACATAACAGACCGTATAGAAATGATTCCAGCGATTTGTAAAGCGCACGCGCGCACGCGCACAGTAGAAATTTTGCGATTATAACGTTTCGCCATTCTATTCTAGACTTAAACCAGTTTTTGCAGTATTTTACTGTCTACATAAGGAGTAATACACGCTTGCGAAATTTATTTGTTGTCGTGACTTTTATAAAATTATTCTGAATCATTTTCTGAAAAATCATGTTTCATAAAAAAGGACAACACAAAATAGAAGTTTTTATAATCAACCATTCCATTAGTGAAGATTTAAGAGTAATTATGTGACAATAGTGTGATTATAATTTTACCATATAAAGAAATTTAATTATTCCTAATAAGAAATAAATTGAAGATGCAAAAAAATTGAAAAATTTTCTTTTAAGAAAATAAATAATTTGTTATACGTTTATCAACATGACACATGTTAATTGTTCAAAATAGTACAATCAGAAACTATAAGATCTCGTGTAACCACGCAGAGCCGCGTCACGTCAAGATATCTCTGAACATCGCAGTATTTTATGCTGTAGAGTGAAGTACTACTAATTATAGTAGTTGTATCAATATACTGGAAAATCTGGAAGCAGTATGATCTATACAAAGATAACTTTATAATAGTAATACAACTAAATAATAATAATAATAAAGATGTGTTTAAAAGTTGATTACTTTAATTAAGATATGCGATCATTAAATCGAAAAATTGAATATCTAGAAATGTCATTCGTAAGTGTATTTCGGAATAATGACGAATGAAAAAAAAATACGTTCTTCAGTTTTCCTGGATTTATATGTTGTCCTGAAACATATATATAATAATACTAAATACGATCAAGTGGTGAAATCATTACAAAAAATTAGCAACAATGTCAACTTACTATATGATATATAATATATTTAAATCCATCATGAAGACAAAGTGTGATACCATGTAACAACAAGTGTGATGTACATGTGTAATTAATATAAATTCAACAATATAAAGTGCCAAAGTTAACATACAAAATGTTTGGTACAACAACTATAGTAAGCAGGTCGTTCCTAGTAATTTTGATATTATTGACATTGTACTTCCTTGGAATGGATCTTTTGTTATATTCTAGAATACAAAATTATAATATAAGGCCAATGTCAAATGGTACACAATATGTTTCAATCGTACCTTGTGATATTAATCCACTGTGTACAGTGACAGTAAAAGGATTAATGTTAGATTATCCAAATTATTTTCTTCTGAGTCCCCTTGCGGCCGTTATGGACAATCTATTACAGATAAGCAATTCTTGGACATGGATCACGCCAAATGCAATCAGTTGTTTTCACGTGTTAATAGCAGTGATAGCTGGCAAATGTATTTCCAGCGACTCATTATCCCATAGACGCTTAGGTGTGGTGCTTTTTCAAGCAAGAACATGGTTAGACGATCTAGATGGACACGTTGCCAGAAAACGAGCGAATATTTATGGTGAACGTTCGGATGTTGGTTCATCTGGTTATATCGTCGATGGTATCTGTGACGCTTTGGGTTGCGTGGCGTTATTAATTGGCCTATATCAATTTCTTGCCCGTAATTCGAGCAGACGTGGAGGATACGATAAGCTGCCACAACTACCCGTCTCTTCGGTTCTTGAACCTGGAAATGTAACATCAAAAACTTCAAATACAGCGCTTCGTAATATATTACTTATGACCGTCCATTTGTTCCTGACTAGTGCCACCTGGAATCGATATATATCTTTATACCAGGATCTCCTTGAGACTGATTATAGAACACCGTCAATTACCAAAGAACATCTTTATGCCAAACAGACAACCATATTTAGAAGCTTGTCATTTTGGATAATAGTTCTTTGTTGGAAGTTTATTAATTTTCATGCTGTCATGGATTACGTGCTTTTGGCAATATTTTTTGATCGTATAAGAGAATATATGAAACTTGTAAGGTGGTCTTCGTATGTAGTTATTTTGCTGCTTGTTTATGTAACCGAATTTCATTTTCTACGGGCCTACGCATATGTACAAGGTGTACCATCGTTTATTGACGAAGAAATATCTTCGTCTGATGTTTTCACCCAAGGATGACAATATGAATCTTGAGAAAGCTTGCTTTCTGCATTTACGAATTGGTGATACATGATGACCATGGCAACTCTTATACATTGAAATTTACAGAGTCACTTGTCTACAAAAATAACGTTCCAAAAAATGTTTTGTATCTTATATTTTTTGGCATGGATTTTGTATAAATAGCAGACTGATGTATGTGATATATGTGAAAATGTACATGACCCCTTAAATATTAACTTGGTAAAGCCTTAGTTCGATCTGTATTTTGATTAATGCATTAATGTGATATTTCCTTAATATTAACTTACTAATATTGTTGTAATCTCATGTGCTAGAATAGTTAAAAATTCAGCAGAATTTCACCTCGTGCATTACTTTTTTATATAAAACATATGAAACATTGACACTCATTTATATTATCGAGTACTTTTAATGTTGAACATTGATCTTTTTATTCAGTGTCTACTTAGCTTTTGCCTTTTCTGCGTGATTGTTACATGCGTATTTGCAAATATATCTATCTCTGTGATGTAAAACTTCATTGAATCTCAACTAATTTAAGGGGTTAATGTTGTAAATTTAAAACAATAATATCGGTAAAAGAGTTTTCATACAAATAATACATTCTATTCTGTACACTTCATATTTTTTCCAACTTCTTTTTTCATAGTGTATCTCTTACATTTGTAGCTCAATATAAGGTGTCAAAATTTTTGGATCTCTTAATTCAGTCATTTGATTTGAATTATTATAGGGGTTGTATGTATTATATATGTGTATAAATATATATTTATGTTAAATATATGGGCTGAGTAATGTACAATAATATGTGATAATCATTATTGTTATGTACACTTTTTTAATTATAACGATTAATACTGTCTTACCTTTACCTTTACTTATTCATATATTTCAATATTGTCAGTTACCTAGTTGCAGCATTTGTAAGTTTTCCAATGTCACGTAGCGGACACTTAACATAACATAAGTCGTCGTAACGAGCTTTCGATAAAATCCTATACAAATATGACACTAAACCACAAAGGCGTAATACATGTAATATCCTGCCGTTTATTGTATTATCCGTACTAAGATCGAAAATCGCAGATAGGCTGAAGAATATAGTGCTTCGCGTTGGACTTGAAAATTTACGAGTGCATCCATCGGTGTACTACATTCATCGAGTTTGTAATGAAATATAATTTTTACTTATCCGACGTGCGCGCATTGTTAATTTGGTTGTCCTTGTCCCACATTTATGACATTTTTTTTTTCATAGTAACTCATGTTCACCGTCTGCGTATCGTGAAAATGACTTTACATCGAAGCGGATACGCACAAATTTGTGCATACGTTGCAAGATATATTTTATCACTGTCCATAGTCTTTGTGACGCGTTGGATGCCTGTTCGACAACTGTAGTAGGTGATAAACTAAGCAAACTATCAGTTGAAGCTTCGAAACGATAACGTTGCCAAGAGTTACAATTTCTAGTCTTTTCTATTACTATTACTTTCAATTATTTCTATATCATCAGTTTCCTCGATGTAAACTGCATCGATTATTCACTATTGTTTCCGACATAAAAATCCATAATGTTAAATATGTTTGATGTTTTATCGTTAGTAATTACAAGATATCCAACACGAACTGCAAATGACGATATACTTATCAGTATATCGGATGCCTATACAAGCTCTATTTTATAAAAGCGGAAATGAACATTTTTATAAGTTTTAATAAACTTTATTTTATTGTTTTCGACACTGATGTGTACATTATAAGATCAAAGTTAAAGCATTACGTCGATGGAAGTTATTAATTTTTTGCACTTGAAGGTTTTTTCGCAAGATATATTTATCTTTCTCTAATGAAATACTGATTAAATCGTTGATTCTATTAATAAATAGAAATAATACATGAATTAAAGGGTAGAACTATTTTATTTCAATATTTCGTGTTTAATTGAATTATATTTAATTTGATATTAAATATTAAATTTTATAATTTTGCTAGATCAAATTATATAGCAATTGTCGCCTCTGGAGTGCAAAGAATTAAATGGAATTACACGAACGTTGGTTCCCCCACAACTTTTTCACATTGGTACGCATCAAGTATTTATAAGAATATTTAAAAAAGAGAATTAAAGAGAATATTTTAAAAAATATTAAAAAGAAATTAGGATAAAGCGCAACAACGTTTGTATCGAATGTACGATGTATGCGTCGTAGTAATTGTCAATGTGTCGAAGTTATATGTGCCGTTAATTTTGAAAATGGACTAAACTATATATTTTTAGTTTCGAGATATTTAAAGGTGTATGTTTAATGAATTAAAAAATATTTTTATACCATGTAAGAAAATAGTTCAGAAAATAATTGGTCTTGAAAACTGAGAATTTATTATAACTGTGTAATGTTGTGTGTAATTTATAAGGAACTATGACATTTGATGTTTGGAATGATTTAGACCATTTTCAAAATTAGAGGCACATATGCACATTATATTTCATGTTCTTCTTAAAATGTACAAAATGCGAAACATACTGTGAAGTTCAAATGCTCTGAATTGTTCGAACTCATAATAACAAGAATGAACGCGTCATTTCGATCAATTATGTTTGAAAAATGTTAAATCGTTTTCGCTCTGTTTTACATTTTTGTAATGCCAAGAAATAAACATGTTATTGGAAAATACAAGTATTAAGATAAAAAATAATTAATATGGTTTGACAATTAAATTTACCATTTACTATAATTAAAAAAACAACTTTTAATAAATAAATATTCTTATTTGTTACATTATTTCACAATATTTTAAAAAAGATCCAATAGTTAAGAGAATATATATCATATTTCTTTAATATCTTACAAAACCTGAAGTCGATATACAAAGACAATAAGAAAATAATTAAAAAAATTCTATTAATTCTTGACAATTTTTATTTATTTATATTTGAGAGCTATCAGTTTTTTTATCAGTACGTTACTCAATTCTTAATACGTTTGCGGACGCGAATTCTATAGCATTCATTTTCATTATAACGCAAAATAACATGAATATTATAGCATTCAAATTTATAAGCCACATTATTTTGTATTTAATTCTATATAGCCTTCATTTGTTTGAAATTATTATACACTTTAACCCTCAGACTACTGCATTTATCGTTTATCTATTTTTGCAGCTAATTAAAATTTGTACTGTCCGCGAACGTGTGAATTATAATTAAAAACAGTGAACAATTTCATTTGGACAAGGAAGTTTATATAAATTAAAGTTGCGAAAGTAACTCAACTTCAAAGCTTTTTCCCGATGCAAAGCTTGAATTCTCGAAGTTGACAATTTATTGCTTTCGTGTCATAAAAGCATTAAGAGATAAAAAAGTAGCTTACTTTAAATAAGTAATTTAACACGTTCGTGGTCAGCGTTTGTTTCGGTAACAATCTCCATAGTTATAATATTTTATTAAAGCCAACGAATCGTCTGTGCATTATGATTTTAGATACAGACGCACATGAAAGTTATTTAATTTTCTTTACGCAATATACAAAATGTTGAACGTTATAACTAATGTGGCGCTGGTCGCGAGCGTGTTAACCCTTTGCACTCGACAATAATTTTCATTATAAATATTCGTTATTTGATAATGAAACATGGATAATGTTTCATATCTTGGTACTTTGTACGGAATTTAATACTAAAACTACTATGCAGTGAAACTAACATTTTAAAATTTTTCTGTAGAAACTTCAAGAGTGCATCTATTGAGATTTCTATTGATTTACAATTCAGTTTGCGCATTACTAAATCAATTAATTTTGTTTCTGTTATCTTTTTAATAATTACAAAAAGAAGAAATCAAAAATGGATTATTTTGACTTGTGTGATAGTTCTGGTGTTAGTGTTGAATTTTAAATTTCATAATTCTGTTGTGTTGCATCAAATGGCGACTCAGAGTCGCCTCTCGAGTGAAAAGGGTTAATATTTAATAAATATTTATGTACATTTTTATTTACATTTATGAAATGGTTGCAGTATCTTCTTGAAGCAGGATGGTGTGCAGACGGAAAAATGATCGGAGTTACCGAACCAAGAAGGGTTGCGGCCACTTCTTTGGCCAATCGAGTAGCCGATGAACGGAATTGTGTCTTAGGCACTGAAGTCGGTTATTCCATACGTTTTGACAATTGCACAGACGAAACAACAAGAATCAAGGTAGAGTTTAAAAATTTTAACAACATAAGAAAATAAAAGGAACAATTATACAATTATTAAACTTGTTGTTTATTTTGCGACGATTTTAACTTTTTCAAGAATGAAAATTCCTAATTTCTTCAGAACAGCTCTTAACTTTCCTATTTAAAGATTTGCTAATTAGTTCTTCGAAAAACTTCGAATATAACATATTACTCGAATATGTCTGTCAGGGGTTGAAAACAGTTATCATATCGGTTCTGGTTCTTGAAACAGTTATAAAGAATCGACATAAAGTCATAATTGTTATTTGGTACATCCGTTCTGCATTATATTAGTTTTGGTTCCGGTTTTTTAGAATTAATATTATACCGGTTTTATATCGGTTCTATAACTGTTACTTTTCAGTTTTAAAAGCAATACTTAAATGTAGAATCGAAACATAACAATTATAGAACCGGTATATTAAGTACCGGAAAAAGTTCGTACGGTTTTCTTGTTGGCAATGAATTAAAATACGACTCCAATTAGCATTTCACTAGTTTAATGAATGAAATTGGTATTAGCAGCAAGTTATGTTTATGCCGCTGGTATCAAATAAAATAGAAGTATTTTATAAAAACGTTCTGTATGTTTAAATTTTTATTTAAAAACCCTCACGAACTCCTTTCAGTATCTAATAAAACCGATATAATATCGGCTCTGAAGAACCGGAACAAAAACTGATAGGTATATCGGTAGAATAACAGTTATGACTTTATTTCGGTTCTCCTATAACTGTTTCAGTCGGAACTGATATGTAACAGTTTCAAACAGTTATTTTCGGAACCTTTCCAATCCCTGCCTATGCTTGCAATTTTTTATCTACGCATGTTTCTATCGTACGCTTTGTGGTATTTCTATTTCCGGAATCTTTAATTATCTTAATCATTGTTGACTTATCCTTGGAGAATTATATGCAATTATATGTAGTTTAATCTCACTCGGTTTTATTTCAATAATTAAATATTATAATTCAGTTTCTTATAATTAAATATTATAATTGTTAATAATAAGTTAAACATATTTGCGTTAGTAAGAGGCGGTCATAGTCAAGCGTTTATAGTGTCGTTTTTAGTAGACCTTCATAAATCAAGCGCTATTCGAGTAAATTGCATTAAAAGAGTTGTATAACATTGTTACGAGTACATAAAAAAGGAACGTGTACCAATTGAGTACGTGAAAATTTTTGTGAAATAATAAAATCATTTGTTTGCCTTCATTATGGTGACCTCTGACTCTATAAATAAAAGCCTGATGACGTTCGTTTCTACGATACAAAGTACTAACGTTTTCTTTTGAGATCGTTCGTTATTATATATTTCGAATTATTTTGCAGTAACAAATATATTCATCCTATTCACAGTACATGACAGAAGGGATTCTTCTACGTGAATTAATGGGCGATCCCTTATTGACGAATTATTCCGTCATCGTGATAGATGAAGTACACGAGAGGACATTGATGACCGATATCATAATGGGACTTTTGAAAAAGATAATTCGGGTAAATTGATTACTATAATTCTTTTATAATACAGTGTAAGTGAAATTATTGCATCGATGCAAACATTTTGACGTTTTTTTATAAGAAATAAAAAGAAGAGTTTTCGACTGTTTGCTGGTTAATCCAAGACTAAGTGAAAACGAAGAAAGAAGTGTCTTTTACACATGTTATAATAGTTAGAAAACAGATGTTATTTATTTTGAAGAAAACTGTTTATTCACCACGCATAAAAAATGTCAAAATTGATGTATCAACCCAATGTTACATCAAATGTTACAAGGTTTTTAAATTTTATTGCAGAAACGCAGGAGCTTGAAAATTGTCGTTTGCTCTGCTACGGTCGATGCGGAACAGCTACGAGATTTTTTCAATACGAACACGACAAAAGACTCAATCAAAGATACTGCAGTTATATTGACTGTCGAGGGTCGACTCTACCCTGTAGATATTTTGTTTGTGAAAGGTATTTTTGTGCGTACATGCTAGTAAATAAAAGTATTTGTGTTATCGTCACACAGAGTTTTCCACAGTTATTATTAAATAATAGAAAATTATATTTCCAACAATCGTAACAGCTTCAATTATAATTTTATTATTACATAAATACCTTCTTTCTCTGTCATACACATATTTATTACTTATAAATTTATTTAAATACACATTTTGTGAACTAGTTTCGAAAATTTAAGCGGAACAATAATTTCGTTTTGCAGTCGCTGTTCTATCCAGTCATGTGCTCATCGAACATTTCATAATTTTTAAATTATCTCTGTCTTGTAGAGCCAGTGGCAAATTACGTTACCAGCGTCGTAGACACGGTTTTGAAGATACACGAGAACGAGGAACCCGGTGATATATTAGCGTTTCTCACAGGCCTGGACGAAGTGGACCAAGCAGTTTCCCTTTTATCGGAACACGCGAAACTTATACAAGAAGGCAAACGTGAGTAGAATAATTTTATGCGCGTTGCTCAAAATGATTCTTACCACTTGGACGTCAAGGGCCATGCACAGTTTAACATTTTGATGGCCAAGTGAACGCTCATCAAAACTCCTATACAGTCGCAACAGGTTTCTCAATAAAGCAAAAGTTAAAAAGTCAGGATTCTTCCTGACAATTGCTTTACTATTTTGCTTATTTTATAATAGATAAAATAAGATGTTAGAATATAATAATTTGGTATCGTAGTACATCATATTACGATATTATGTATATGCTTATGTTACTAAATATCTTCATTCGAGATCAATTTTCTTATTGTAATTGTTGTCAAGTAATTTATCTAAAAGTAATTTCCGACAGTCAACGTGTTAACGTTATGATCAACGTTGCAACGTCCATTATTAACCAAATCTAATGTGCGTATTACACCACCAACGTTGACGATTGCTACAACATACGTTGAGCATTCGGTTCTTACTGCATTCTTTTATGCTTTATGAAATTGTTCACACTAGCGATGAACTGACGTTAAAATTCTGTGTCATTCATCTCATCGTATGAGTACTTGGTACTGACATGAAAAAATTACGCAGTAACCAACGCTCGTGTGACTACAATGAATAACGTTTGTCGTAATATCCGCCATCTAAACGCTCGTATAACTCTGGCTTAAGATGGATCGGGTGTTATTTTTTTCTTTTTATACTGTCGTTTTTTTTCAGTGAAACTTTTACCCCTGGCTATGTATGGATCCCTTCCAAACTCAGAACAACTGAAAGTATTTTGGAGAGCAGCCAAAGACACTCGTAAAGTAGTCGTAGCAACGAACATAGCTGAAACATCCATCACCATTCCAAACATCGTTTATGGTAAAGATATAATGTCACGTCTAAAGAGAAGTTTCATTTTACTTACTTTTCTTTTACTCTACAATATTATCTTTAAATAGAATATATTCGTAATTTTTTAAATGATTTACAATGTATGTAATTATCTGCTTTTAATTTAAAATATTTAGAGACTCCACGTGTCCATGAAACTGTTGACTCATGATTTGTGTAAAAAAGAACTATATAATTTCTGAAAATGGATAATACTGAAATTTCCGTTGTTTGTTCGTTCATTACTATTTGAAATTTCGCTACCCGCAATTAAAATAATTTATAGTTAATGGTTTGAAATTGAAATATTTCAAGAAAAATTAGTTTTTAATAACAAAATTTTCAATTGGAAGTTATGTAAATTAAATGGTAAAAAGTTAGTCACAATGTTGTATGTATGTGAACGGACTTTTCCAGCAGGCCTAATACATATTTATGTATAATAATGTTATTAAAAATATTTATTTCTTATTTTATATCTAGTAATTGATTGCGGTTTTGTAAAAATTCCATGGTTTGAGGCGGAAACACAAACCAATTCCGTGGTAATTGTCCCCGTATCGAAAGCTTCTGCAAACCAACGTGCCGGTAGAGCAGGTCGTGTTCGAACAGGGAAAACTTATAGGTATGTTTCACGATTATCTTTAGATTTGCATATTCTTAAAATTTTCATCTGTTCTTTTTACAGATTATACACGGAAGAAGCATATGCTGAACTGTTTGAAGCGACGCCGCCGGAAATGCAGCGTTCTGACTTAGCACCAGCTATCTTACAATTGAAAGCATTAGGCATTGATAATGTATTAAGATTTAATTTTCCCTCTGCTCCACCGAGCAAAAATCTTCTTGCAGGATTAGAATTGCTTTATGCATTGGGTGCAATAGATAGAAATGGAGAGTTAACAATGTCATTAGGTATCACAATGGCAGAGATGCCATTAGAACCTGTTTTAGCAAAATCCCTTATAGTATCAGGTAACGTTTTAAGAAAAATGTATTTTATTCAGAGATATAAGTGAATAGAATAGTTCAGATATTACAATTTGATTTGATATTATGATTAATGAAATATATGTTATACTAAAGCATAGTTCGAAACTAGTAAATACATTAAATTATAGTTATGTGTTATATTTGAAATACTGTTTTAATAGTATTCAAGTTTGTTTAATTTATAGCTCAATTATAATAGATAATTTATGAGATAATTTTTAAATCAAGGTGAAATGGGATGTTCCGAAGAATTTACAATGATTCTCGCCATGCTTCAAGTACAAAATATTTTTATAAGGCCAGCTGGAGGTCAGGTAGCCATAAAGGCTAGAGTTGCTCACAGAAAATTCGAAGTTGAAGAAGGAGATCTTTTAACTTTTTTAAATGTATATACCGCTTATGAGAAAAATAAAACGTCTAGCTGGTGTCAGAAAAATTTTCTTAATTACAAAGCATTGCGACGGGCTACTGAAATTCGGACTCAAATGCACTCTATGATGAAAAGGTTAAAAATTCCATTGGTTTCCAGCAACGGTAAATAATGTTACTTATTAAATAACCTATTAAATTATGTATATCATGGACTAACTTACTAAATTAATAATAACATTTTTTTCGATTTCTAACTAGGAAACGTTCAACAAATTTTAAAGTGTATAACAGCTGGACTTTTTCCAAAAGCAGCATATTTACATTACACTGGAGTATATAAGACTGTACGCGGAAATAGAGACTTATATATACACCCAAATAGTTGTTTATATACACTTCAGCAACCACAATGGTTTGTTTATAAACTACAGTATTTTTAGTTTACATATTGACATTATGCTTATTTTATTCTACTTTTTTTCAAGGGTACTCTTCTGTGAAATTTTGCAAACTAATAAAACATACATGAAGGACATAACTGTGATACAACCAGAATGGTTATTGGAATTAGCTCCTCATTTTTATGAAAAGACATCGCTTGAACCTGTTTAGTGCAATTTTTGTAAATACCAAGAATAATTATGTAAAAAAGAAAAAATATTTAATCACTGAGTCAGTATTTTTTTCTACAATCATTAATACTAATATATTTATTTCAAGTGGTATCAACCAAATAAATATAAATAAAGTAATATTACAAAGATAAAGAAATAAAATATATACATTTTACAAATTAAACAAACTAAAATGAAAAATATGTAAAACTTCGATTTTTATTACTATAAAAAAAGAGAAGTAAATAACTATTTCAGTTTAAAATACATATAAAATAACATTTTTATTATTGAAACGATACATTTATTATTAGCAGTAATAATTTATTATTATTTATCTACTGTACCTATCTATACGCAACAAGAAAATTTTAAACTTAACGTTCTATTAGTGGCGCCACTGATCCGTTGGAAAGGAATCTTTTTTCATCACAAGTAGGTAGCTACCATACGAGTTCCATACACTTTACCTCATTTTTGTTTTCATTAGATGTATTGATAATAAAAAGAATTAATTACGTTTTAAATGTTTAATTATTATATACTTCCAAATTCTCTAATTGAAGCAAAGAAAACATACATTCAGTTAATGTGTATATTGAAAAAAAGGTCATAATAAAGCGTCATCCAGTTTAAAGCGACAAGTACTTAGAATTAAGAAGACGCATGGTTGTATTCTGAAAGTAATATTAACCTTAATTCTGTGATATTTGCTCGAAATCCAAAAATCGAGTAATATGGCTAAAATAGTCGATTCTTTGAAGAAATTAAGTGTTGAACATGACACACGAAAATACGATAACAATCACACAACTATTAAAAGAAAAAAGGAATTAACACTATCGATAGAGGAAACAGTATCTCCTGACAAAAATTACATTCTTAATGTCTGTGGAACACGAAGGCAAATGTTGCATCCTTACATAGTGTTTATGTCAAATCTACAAAAAAATGTTTTTTAATCACTTCAATCAAAAGTTTTCTCAATGTCGTGTAAACTGTATTTACAAATGCTTTTTGCGCACAACTACAAATTTTTCCCTCCATTTCATTTAAAATGTTATTTTCATTTTTTACATAGAAAAATGAATCATTTTCTAAAAATATTATTCCTGTAGAATATTATATTTTGAAATCCTTTGAATGAAGTGATTTATACATAATTTTAATGCCTGAAAGTTTAAAATATTTGATATAAATTGGTATTTTATTTTTATATAACATAAAAGTAAGTAAAATTTTGTAGTATCACTTTTTTCTCTGTTTTTACTTTTAAAGTAAATAATTCATAGTATATTACTAGAATTTAACAAGATAAAGATGAGAATATTAAGTTTAATTGCTAAAATTTGGTTCATGTTTTTAGTTTTAGATTTGACGTAAATTATTATTTCATAATGATACATTCTTACAGTGATCTTATAAAGCATTTTATGAATTTTTTTTTTGTACAGTGATCCAGAATTTAGGATTGGTACAGCTTTGTCAGATCGTACTTGTGTGATATATTCTGTTGGAGAAACTTTAAATCGAATCAGTACATTAACTCACAATCGATCCCGTATTGTTGGAATAAAGTTTAGTCCTACTTCTAAGAATATTTTATATACAGCAACAAATGATGGACTAGTTACAGCGTGTGATCTGCGTGCTAAAGGAAAAGTAATTGCAGAATTCAAAGGTATTTATTGATGAATCAATTAAACATTCACTAAAAATAATATAAGGTTTAAATGCATCATTCAGATGTTTGTAATGTTTAACATGTTCATGGATAATAAAAGTTTTAATGAGCTGCAAAAATAGAAAAAATGTAAATGCAATACTCCAAAGGTTAAAATGCATAGTAATTTTAAAAGATTAATGCTATATAGAATTAAATGCACGATAATATGGCTCATAAATTTGAGTGTTACAGCATTCATGTCATTTTGCATCACCATGAAAGTGAATGCTATAGTACATATTCACATCTGCGAATGTGTTAATATATCTATTTTTCTTTTCAGACGTTACAGAAGATGGTAAAGTGAAACCTCTTTGTAGCTTCGATATCAGTCCCAATGAAAGACTTTTAGCAGGTGGAACTGAACATATCGGAGGAGATGCATTCATTTTATTTTGGGACATACGGCATACTAATTCAAAATTGTACGATAGAAATACTCTTCTTGGCGGATATTGGGAATCTCATTTGGAAGATGTGACTTGTTTGGCGTTTCATCCTAAAAAGCAGGATGTGTTAGCATCTGGTAGTACAGATGGTTTAATTAATGTTTTTGATCTTAAACAGCCATCAGAAGATTGTGCGCTAACTTATTCTTTGAACACTGAATCTTCTGTAGTGAGTTAAAACTTTTTATAGAAATGTCAGTATAATTTTTTAAAGTAATATTAAACTTTATTTCTAAATGTACCATTTAAATAAAAGGATAGGATAGGCTGGCTAAGCGATGATAATCTCTGGTGTACAACTTATATGCATTCTTTACAACTTTGGGATTGTGAAGGAGCCACGCCATATGCAAAATTTGACCGCAGCGATTTAGTAGTTTCTCAGGTTAATATAAGTTTGATTACATGAATTATGATTTCTGTTCATAATAATAAATTTTCAGGTGACATTAATTTAGACATAATTTTTAAATATATCATTACTTTTACACATTAATAATTTTGTATAATGTATTTTTTAGAACAATGATGTAGACAACTGTTATACAGTCAGATTCCATGCTTCAAATGTACTTGAGCATCCATTCCTCTTGGCAGGTTCTAGTAACGTTAAAGGGTAAATTTCTATATAATTTAAAAACTCGGTAAAACAAATTGAACATTTAGCAAAAATTAATATTCGTTCGCACTTATTTATAATTGTTTTATTTATTTTTATTAAAATACCTTAGAGAAAATTTAAGTTGTCTCAACATCGTAAACGATCGACTGGAAGTGTGTTATAACATGGTGGGAAATAAACAGTTAGTGCGCGACAGTTGGTTGCACGAAAAGGTATTATTTCAATAAAGTTATATTTCATTTAAATTAATTTATTTGAATATCAGTAAAAAAAAGTAATACTTTCTGATATACAATTTGTAGAGTGGTTCCTTAGTAACAGTGGGGGAAGGAGGATATATAAACATTTGGAAACAAGCAGAAACGACGCTTTTACAACAAAGTTCAAGCCATAAATTAGTGGCAAAAATTGGTACCGCCAAAGGGCGTGACCGTCATCACAGAACCAAGCCATATTAAACGAAAGTGATAGGATAAAAATTTGTAAATGCGAAAAGTTTTTGTAAGTAAATGTAATAAACAGAAGAGAAATATCACGTAACATTAACATAATCGTACATTTCTCTCACGTTCTTCTTTATTACAATAACGGTTGTATGTACATTTATAATAAATAGATATTATTTCTTCATGCGGCTAATGATTTAACAGCGATTCTTGTATCAATCGAAAATGCAGCAAAACATGTGTATATAAACGCTAAGGAATGTAAATCACATACCAGTGTTTATGTATATACATATATATGTACATACATATATACATATGTATATACATATATACGTACATGTATAAGATTGAAAGGGGAAGAAAAATATTGCAAATATTTGCTTACTCTCGTCAAGTAACAGATTAACCTTGATGGATCGCCTTACAGAAAAATTATTCCATTTTTCGGTACATGGATGTAGTAAAATAGGAGCTTATAACTTGCATTTGTCATAAAATAGACGTATTTAGCATATTGTGTTAGTAAATGGTAATCTTGATAAAGTAATCAAGCAAATAACACAATAATAACAATTATTATTAGCGTACAACCGATAAACCGGTTTGTAATTTAAAATTGATCAAGTCTAAGAGAATTAATGCTAATGCATTGAGTGAGCGCGTCTTAAAATGTATACACGTTCACTTTATTAGATAATTATAATTTTATATTAACGTTTCCAAAGACGATCGCAGTAGCGAGTATCACAATGATAACAGTAGATATAGCTTTAGAGTAAAATAGTAGGTACAGAGTAAACGTACAAAAATACTTCCCATGAATCAGGGACGTAAAGATTCACTAAAACGTGGAAAACCGCGTTGCTAATAATTCTTTATATCCTCTCTTAAACTTATGCAATCGAATGACATCGAATTTTTTAGATGCCACAGGATGCATGTAGGCCGCCGCACTACTTTTTCAGTTGTTATTCCAATTTGATTCTTCGTGTTACCCTGAAGATGGTGTGCGACTTCATTATACAAGGAAAATATTGAATAACAACGAATTTTAATCACATTGAGTTATATCTGACATAGCGGAACGCTCTTAATATATGTGAAGAATACGTTCTTTAATGTATACATCTGACCCTCGATTTACGCGGCACCCTTTTTACGCGTAAATTATAATACTACTTACGCGGTAGTTTTCATGCGTAATCTGAATTTAGTAACTAGATCTAATTTTAGTAAGTATTTCTAAAACTTTTCTTTCCAGTATTTTGTTTTCTCTTGTACTGACATACTCTATTCACGCGATTTTCATTCGCGTAAAACGGATCCACGTGGAACGGATTTTCGCGTAAATCGAGGGTCAGGTGTCGATAAATATGTATATGTGTACATGTTTATTTGCGTGCGTACATACATATCTGGAATGATTTTTTGGAATTGCATCTCAATGTTAAAATCTCACTTTTCGTACATGTTTCACATTTTCTTTATCATGAACATTATGACATTAAGAACAATTCATAATTTGTATTAAGTGTTCTTGAAATGAAGTCGAACACTCATCCATGAAGGCTACTAACAGGTTAATACAATATTATTTATGTTCTGATACATGCTTGAAACTTTTTAGTAGAAGACTTGTAAAAACTCGTTACGTTTGTTTTCCTCACACTTTACAACTTACAGAAATACTTTAAGAACTATTGTCACCATGATTGATTGAGACGAGTTGATACTGTTGCTTATGTTGCCTTATGATGATAAATTAATTAGTCACATGTTTTATCATTATGCCTCCACGACGCTGTCCTTCAATCGATCATATTGCACGCTACAGCATCTTTCGAGGCAAGCACATACAATATCTATATGTGTATATATTTATATATGTTTATATATATCTATATATGTATATAGATATATATATATATCTATAAGTATCAAAACAAAATTCTGATTTTATTATAACGATCTACGATCTACTTTGTCTCTTTGTTATCCTTATGGATTTGAATTTTAAATATGATTTTCACCTTAACAATTAACAAATGAAGTAATTAAATTTAAAACTTCAAACGTGCAGTATGATCATAGTTTGCGTAATACTTTCTCTGAAATAGGTTCCAGATTCAGAAATACTTGAAAACTTTCTTTATTAAAAAAAATCTTATAAATAAAAAATACTTTAGACAATTGGAAATCATCAGTAATCTTACGCGATGCAATAAATAAAATAATGTGTAGGCAGTCGAAAAGGGAAAAGGTTGTAATAACAATAATGGCAGTGAAAAATCTCGAATTAAAAATATTAAATAGAAAGTGTTACTTGGATCGCTGTTTATCCAACTTAAATTGGGAGAGGACGACTGTGTTATTGAACAAATGATATGTAATAATGATACTAAAAAATCAACGACTTTAGCTGTGGCTTGGCACACACAATAGCAATTCATTAATGTTAATTAATTAATCTTACCCGTCATTTTAGCACATATTAAAATACTTTTAAAGTTATGATATAAGAATAGCTACCGCGGTCACTCAATATTCTTTCATATACCTGCGTGCACACTAATAAGTGCATATGTGTACATCTTTGGCGATACGAAGTTGTACGCATATGCATAAATTCATGAATTTTATTCATATGCACGCTTATATACTTTCGCACAGTTTTGAACCCAACATACGTACATGTGACTTCATCATACATATGTCATGAAAAAGTATATATACACATCCATGTATATGTACTCCTAATATAACCTAATTCTCTACCCTTGCATTTTCAGCAAGCAGCAACAGATTTGTTTAAAAGATTCGTCTAAAATCATGTTTCTAAAATTGTCAGTCGGCTTAATAACATAACGAGCAAGAATCAACAAGATCGGCAGAACTATCTCACCAAGCCGGCTTTCTTAATACTTTTTTTTTCTCGCAAATAGTTGTGAGTACTAATTGTTATTCTTTTATTTGTCCATATATTTTATATTTATTCTCTTTTTCTACGGTAGGTTTCATGAGACTTTACATACAAATTATATTATTGCCCTCAGTAGCAGTTGAAAAGTAACGTTCCTCTTTATCGATTTATTCAGAATAATATGTATGTTTTTATTGACAGTCACGCGCGATTTTTATAGATACGTTAAATGCATTATTTATGTACCACGTTGTATTTTAATGTACAACATCATAAAAATTATCACTGAGCAAGGAAGACAAGAACAAAAATGAAGAGAGAGGGACAGAGAGAGGGAGTTAGAGAGAGAGAGAAAGAGAGAGAGAGAAAAGGAAGAGAAGTGATAAGTGAACAAGGAATGAATAATGGAAAATTGAAAATATCAGCGAAATATTAAAGAATATAAAAAGTGGTAATTCGAAGTTATTATCGAGAAAATGTTGAAAGTCAAAATGATTTTACACGGCTTCTAGGTTGAGCATCTTTTGACTGATTCCGAGAAGGAGTTAATTGAGATGTCGGGGTAGCCTCACTAGTTGTAGGGCGAGAAGATCGAGAGTGCTTTCGACCAAAACGAAAGAATCGTCAGAAAAAAATTACCTCTTCCTCCAAAGGCTGTTGCTGCTCGGTTCGTTGATGTTGTTGTTGTTGCTGTTGTTGCTGCTGCTGCTGCTGCTGCTGCTGCTGTTGTTGTTGTTGCTGCTGCTGCTGCTGTTGCTGCTGCTGCTGCTGTTGTTGTTGTTGTTGTTGTTGTTGTTGTTGTTGATGATGTGAATACTCCGGAGGAGATCGTGTAATTCGTAGAGAACGATTCGAAGAATGAATTTGACTGGTGCTAGCATGATTATTACCTAGTTCCGGGGAAGAGTATGTTGAGCTAGTCACGATTGCCGGACTACTGCCGGTTCGTGAATGTCGATCAGGACTATTATTACTTGTGCCTCCACTCCTATTAGTTATACATAGAAAAAAATGATTAAATTGTGTTTCTTAACCGTTTGAGTGCCACGGGTGTTTGCAAAATCCCGGTCGAAAAGTGCCAAGCTGCGCAATCGCGTCTTTTTCGTTTCAGCTTAGAAACTGAATTACGCTTTTTTCTTTTCACATAAAAAATTTTAAATACTGCAATCGTTACATTTTTCTATTTCTAAACAGGTAATAACAAAAATAAAAATAAATAATTAGAAGGAAGGCGATTAAATAAACTTAATTTGTTTCTACGAACCGATAAGTTAGTATTTTTAGTCATTATACCGCAGAAACGCAATCGCACCGCTTGGCACTCGAACGGTTAAGATTCAGCGTTGAACAATTTGTATCTTTGAAGAAACATCTGATTTATAAATATACAAGGCATGCTAATTTAAACGATAGAACTGTGAAAACTATTTCTCTGGCTCTTTTAGCCCAAATTGCTGCTCCTCTTTTTTAAATAATTGAAATCTGCACGTTTTATGTATTTTATAGTAATTTAGTTTTCATGATAACTATTGCGTCACCGTTTCATCGTTCAATTTGAAAAATACGTTTTATATGTCGCTATGCATACCTTGCGTTATTGTTACTTCCACTAGCAAGTTTCAAAGGCAACTGCTGTTTCACAGGAAGATTGCTTGGCACTTTTTGTTGGTTAGTAGCGCTAATTAAATTTAACGGTATCCGCTTAGTATCCAGCTGAGATTTTCGCGGCTGTATTGTATCCGTTCCCTGTGTCATATGAGAAGATAAATGAATAGTCGCGGATCCAGGTGTCGAGCCTGCAACCAATGTTACTCCTTGTCTTTCTAACGCTTCGAGTCGCCGATATAATTGATCTCTTTGCTGCGTTACATCCTGCTTTTCTGCTGCGAGTTGTTCTCGTTGCCTTGCCAATTCAGATCTTTCCTCCTCTAACTGTTTTTGTTCTTGCTGAGAAGCAGCACGGAATGCTGCTTTCTCTCGACTTAACTGATCTTGCAAATTACGCAATTCTTCTAATTGGCGGTTCGTATTAGGTCTATTATTTGGTTTATTTATACCTCCTTCTTTACATGCAGCTAATTGAGCCTGTAAGCTGTCGATTGTCGTCATCTGATTACTGATTATACAAAGCAACGTATAAACATGATGAGACAAACGAATCGCTGCCCACTGTTGATCTTTATTTGTTTCTGAGTCTTGATTTTCTTTTTCCTCTGGACTTTCTTTCATAAATTCACCAACTTTCGGAAGAAAAATTACAGAATGAATCGCAGCAGAATCTCGCAATGGATATTTTTCCTGAAAAAATACAACTGATTGATACTCCCATTCCAATGGTTTTAGAATTGCATATTTACTTTGTTATGATCGAAACCAGCAAATGTTTCAGCTCTTCGAGGTACGCTAAGAGCAGCTGGAACATAGGCCTCGCTGTGCCGTTCACCCGCCGAACTTAGACTTCTTGAAAGAGTAGCACCGCCTGTACTAAACGATAATGAGCTAGCAAGTCTTGTTGCTTCTTGGACAGCCACGACCACCTGAAAAGATGAATTTTTCTTGTACTTTCAATATTATATGAAAAATTATTAAAGATATATAGGAGTAATAAAAATTTTGTTATAATAAGCATTCAATGTTTCTGGGTATAAGTGTCGTGTTCATTAGGAATGATTTCCCAACATTTCACTAGCATTGCAGGTGGCAAGTATCGGTGAATCTTTAGACCCCTGATGGTGCCAACCGCAATGCTAGCGGAACGTCGGGAAATCATTCTTAACACATTGAGCGCCGGCCCCGTGAAAACGCTGGATTTCCGTTAAATTGTATATGACGAATATGCAATTAAAATGTATTATTTTACGAAATTGTATATTGTTTTGAATATTTTTTTTGGCTACTCATTGATCAGATACAAGCGAATGAGGACGGCGTTTGGGCTAAGTGGCCGATACGTTGCCGGCGCTCAGGCTTTAAATGTCTCTTAAGTCGCCAACGCTCAATGTGTTAATAGACACGACTTAGACCCGGAAACTTTGAACACTTATAGTATTCCTGAAAAAGATATTTTTGTTATTACCTCTTGCCACAATTGTGTAGTATCAGTTCCTTCACTGTGAACCAGTCTAGTATAATCTGGAATTTCTTTATCAACTTTTTCTAATCGTTCATTATCATTAGTTTCGTTTCCACCCCATATGTTTGCTGCATGTGAAAGTTGCATTTGTAAATTAAGTTTTTCTTCGAGTAAAAGTGCTTGTTCAGTATCTTTCTTTCGTAATTCAGCTAAATGTTTTAATAGAAAAAAATCATTATTATTGATGCGGTTTATCTGTTCTAATTAAAATACTTAATCAATATATTATACCCACCAACTATTTTTCGGATATGTGATTCTTTAGTTTTAACTAAACGTTGTCTTTCTTCAACGGAAAGTAAGGATATAGAAGAAGATCGTGTGTCTCTCAATTCATTACTACTATTATTCTCAGTTATTGTATCAGTTTCATTCTCAGGTTCTTGCGGACAAGCTTCGACCGCGGACCTGATTGCTTGAATCCACAACTGCTTATCTTTGGGCTTTTGAATTTTCAACTCAAACATTTCAGGTTTAGCTGGATTGCTATATATTAAATAGATTCCTCTAGACTCTTGACCAGCCTTTTCACGCACTAATAATTTCTGAAGCGGTACTATACCAGGCTTATTGTCAGGCACAAAAAAGGCGTACTTCTGATCCCTCTCAGCCAAGAAAAATAATATATCAGAAAGAACAACTACTACAATGGCAGTCATTTTTCCACGACCTTGCATTAAGTACGCAGTACCTTCAAATTTCAAAATTCTATTAAATGCCATGATATCTGACTTTTTGAATTTGACACCACGATATGTTGCAAAAGATTTTGCGTCAATCCTATACGATAACAATCAATATAATATTATTATTGATTAGCGATAATTGAAGAATATCTAATAAAATATCGAATCCTCTTACTTATTATAGATTTCTAATTTTCTATCTTCTCTTTCTTTATCAGCTACACATGCATCCACATCTGCTAAAATTTCTTTAACAAGGCTTAAGGCTTTGCGCAAATCTTCAGCTTCGTCCTGAGCAATACCCGTTTTTATAAGTGGTTCGACCAGTAATGGATACTTCGTCAAACGTTGAGTAACAAATAATATGCATTCAGGAATTCCTTTTTTCTTTAACAGAGGGTGTGACTACACAAACAAATGATTTTTATGTTATTAATAGAAGAATATACAAATATGTAGATTGCATCTGATTACTGTAGTACATTTACTAAATATTTTTGGAAATAAGTCACAGTTCATTTTTTCATGAAACTAAACAAAAAACTTTACTCTTCATATCTTAAATAAAGAACTGGCATATTAAACTAACCGTACCGCGAACCGGTCAAATGACCGGTTTTAAAATTTTATTTAAAATTCTGTGTTTTCTTTCGTTTATTTAACTTTATATGAATTTCTATATTGTCAATTAGTTGTTCAATTTTCATCTTTCCTTTTGTTTCTATTTTCACTAAGAAAAATTTGTTAGGGATAGAACTATTTTATTTGGATGTTCCATGTATGAATACATTATATAAAATTTAATATTGAATTTTAAGTTTTATAACTTTGTTGGGTCAAATCAAATGGCGACTGAAAAGCACCCCTCAAGCGCAAAGGGTTAATATTGTAATACACATACCTGACACTGTCGTACAAATCGTGCAAATCGGGGATCATGACGGAAGTAATATTTATAAGCTTCAACAGCGTCCCTGTGACGACTACAGAATTCTCCATAGGCACTCTTCATACGTTGTGCATTTTCACTAGCGAACTGATCAACGAGTATATCAGCAATTGTAGGAACAACGGGGTTTGCATTTTGCCGCTTTCGTAACTTTTGCAGGAATCGTAAATGTATATCGATGAGATCGCGAAGTCTGGGAAACATACGTTCCAAATCTGGTTGACCAAGGCGAAAATGACGACGGAGACCTTCCGCGAAAATTCTTTCCATAGCGAGAAGTACTAAGCAATGATGTTTTTCTGTAAGGACAAATTCGTAAATGTGTTCCTGCCTCTTTACTTTTCGCTCGCAATTATCAACGAGGCGCAATGCGATATTCTGTCCAATAGCAGCACTCCAAGAATCAGGTTCTTCTTTAGTTAAACCTAACTCAGGATCCAGACCTTCCAAATCGTCCAGAGTAAATGGATGGGTGTCGTCGCATATATCGAATTCTTCCCAACCACTGAAATATTGCATTGAATACATTCATTAATAATTATAATGTCTTGTAACAAAAAAAATAAATTTATTTGAAAACTAATCTTGAAAAAGACTTGTACAAACCTCGATATATCACGATGTTGCCCATCCCCATCCCTCTCTTCATTTATCGTTTGACTGAAAGAAAAATTTAATTATATACTTTAGGACATTCTTACTTTCTCTTAAAAAATAAAGAATTGCGTTTTCCTGAAATCCATGATAACAAAATTGCATAGATTAGATAAATATGTAGCAGTTTTACTAGTACGTTAATATTACCTTGTGTATAAATGTAATCTGCATAGCAGCACCTAAATTTTATTCTGCGTATACGTATGTAGATAAACGTGTATATTTAATTGCTTGTGTCCTACACAAAACAATCAAGACTATGTTTAAAGACAAGTGTATATTGTTGGGGATACAGTTTTTTGTAACTGTTTCATAACAATGTTTCAAGATGTCTATGAAAGATGATAAACGAAGCTTTAACATTACTACAAATGAGATTTAAGAGTTTGCTATACAGGATGGAGCACGCAACTGAAAGCATTTCAATTACTCAATAAGTAGTAATTTAAATAAAAATGTTTCAGATGAAAGTTTAATGGTTTTAAAGGGGACATGGTTTGGTATCATTGGTCTTTTGACAAAAGAACACATAGGGGTCATGTAAAAGTCAAATTTGTTTTCTTAAATGGAATCATATATTTTTTATTGTGTAATTTAATTAATATTGTAATTTTCTATAAAAAAGTATTAACCTTTTCTTAGTAAAAACTTATTGATTTAGAAAGTATTTTATCTTCAATTACTTTAATCTTCTAATAGATCAATACTCTTTTATAAAACATTGCAAAATGA